CCCAACTCTTGAGCCACGATCGCTCACAATGGAAGGGTAATGGTCAAGAATCCATTCTCAAGGATGGCAAAAGCTAAAAAGAACTATGAGGTATGCCAAATTACACAGGTCTTATTGAGTTTAAAATCAAAATTAGATTATTTTTTTGTTTCAAATCCTCATTAATATCAACAGTAATATGTTCTTGTCAAAACCGAGGGAATTATAAATGCAAAAAAGTATGATCAGATTTTGATAGACCATGCATTACTGACTGAAAAGTGTCAGCAAGGGCTTCATTTATCAACATGGCAATGATTCCAAAGATACTACAGTGATACTACCTGGATAGTCAAACACACTATGAAACATTGTCAGTCATGGATAGGCATCCTCAGAGCCAGGACCTCAACAACAATGTGAGTTCACATGAACGGAATGGAGAGAATGGAGCAAAAGGCAGCCGACATCCAAAGAAGAGCTTGGAATGTCCTTCAAGAACCCTGGAGAACTATTCCTGAACATTACAAAGAAATTACAAGAAAACTTGCCTACGAGAGTTCAGGCGGTGTTGAAGAATAAGGTCCCAAATACAGACTTTCAAGCTTGTCAGAATTGTACAAACTCTGTTTTGTCCATTTATGTTTGCGTGTTTCAATAAATCACATCACAGATTTTCCGTTTTCCTAGCAAAATTTTAAAAAAAAATCTTGGGCAGCTTGAGACTTTGGCACAATTTCTCACAGTATATCATCAACAAGAATTATGAAATGGACATGAAATGGCTATCCTGCCTGATAATTGAGCTTTAGTTGTAGTCCATATCCTGCCATAACTATTTTCAGACTTTCCCAAAACATTTTTTTGTTATTGATTTGGGAATGCCTACTGAACATGACAAAACTGATTTAAAGATAAGAATGTTTGCATCTCATGTCTAGTCATATAATTAAAATTGCTAATTTTTCTCCAAGACAAGCAGCTGTCAGTTATTCCAGTGCTTAGTGCAAATACTGGAAGAGTTTATGCATGCTTTATATTCGTTATACAGACACACCATACTAGACTGTGCTGTGCACCCTTCAAATACACATTCAGCATTTAAATTTGGGGTTTATCTCTATAGCATGCAATATCATTGAAGACTGACATGATTTCAAAAGAACAGAAGACATACTGTTGAAGATTGTTGCATCCATAGCATATTTGTATGTTTATAAATAAAGTTAAATGTAGTTTTCTTAATGAATGAGTTTGGGTTTAACTATCATAGGTGTGTGTTTGGGAGCTGAAGCCACATAGCTATCGGTTGCTGGAGGCCATGAAAAAGCACAAAGCTGCTGTCACTTGTCTCAAAATCAAGAGTGACGACACAGAGTGTGTCTCTGCAAGCTCTGACGGTACCTGCATCATCTGGGACATAGTGTGAGTAGCCTATCTGCAAACCATAACGCACACATTGTGTCCATGTAACATCTTTAAAGTGTTTAATATTATAATATTAGTGTATGAAATATTATTTATGTATGAAATGTTGTGTTTAGTAGTACAACAAAATGCCAAAAATTACTGCAGAGCCACTTCACTAAGTCAAAATTGTAATAATTATTTCTCAGTTTCATCAAAGAAAAATGATGAGAGCAAGTGAAGTGAAAATAAAGTAGTTAGGCACATTACTGAATGAGCTAATCACATTATTCTGTGAAAAGTAATGTACATATCTGGTAATAATACGTATAGCCACCAGAGACAAAGTGAGAGGAAAGAAGAGCACAGTCAGACCTGAAGACAGAGAGAAATTGTGAAGTGGATGTGTGGCTCATACAGTGAGATAAAAAAGAAATCCAGTTCTTTATAAGCTTAAAATCCTTTAATCTGTGAGCTTCTTCTGGGAGTACAATAAGCTGTTGAAAACTGACTATGGTCATTTTTTTCATTGTCTGTCCTCTTCATGAACGAGTCTGTGGATTAAAGTCTTCTAGGCAGTACCCATACAATTATCATGGATTCTCTTTTTAGTATGACTACTAACAAGTTATTTAAATGGATTAGTAGAAAAGTCTAAATTAATTTAGACTGACACCCTGTCTGACTAGAATCAAATAATTCTATGCACAAGAGAAAATATGTGCACTTCAGAACATTTGTATATACAGATTGTTTTGTGATTTATGCTTTTTTTGTTTAAAATTTGAACAGGGTTTGTTCACACTAAACAGTCTGGTCATGGTGTGAAGACACATGCACCTCATATGAGTTATTTTTTGCCAAGTCTATTGCAATACCTGTCAAACTCATCTTCCTTCCCGTCATTTCTTGTCTTTTGTCTCTTTTGTATAATCTTTTATAGGCGATTCGTAGTTCGTCAAATGATGATTGCCAACACACTGTTCCGGACTGTGTGCTACCATCCAGAGGAATTTCAGATCATCACCAGTGGCACTGACAGAAAGGTGTGTTTTTGCATTAAGAATCTTTTTTTTTCTTGTTGCTAAGTGCATTTCTGTATTTTTATTGGTATTCTAGCAGGCAGTAATTTAAACACAATTTTTTCCCTTGATTTATCTTTAAACCAGTTTTTTATGGTGGCCTCAGAGGTATGTATTGTCAGAATTGTTAATAATCATTTTGCTAAAACTTCTTTAGTCAGAATTTGCTTAATTCTGACAAAAATGTTTTAGTGTAGCCGCCCCTGTAGTAAGAACCAAGAAAATGTGGTTTATGAGTTTGTTATCACACAAAAAGATGGATACAAAAATGTTTATGCCCAAAATGCTGACCATAATTAATTTGATTGCATGTAGAATTTCCAGTACAGAGAAGTACAATACAAAAATACATTTAATGGAATCTGTTCAATTGAAAATTACAAAAAAAAGAAAAGAAAAAGAAAATGACAATACAAAGAAGTCTCATCAAATGAAATTTACTTCATTGTTATACATTCAGTTTATACCAAACATATGTCCTTTAACCTCCTACGACCTGGCGTCCACATATGTGGACATCACATTTTGGGCTATTTAGACCAAAATACTCAATTTTGCTCTACAAGGGCCTGATATACACTTACAAGAACATTATACTGCTACTGTTGTATCAACATTTCAAACGAATATCCTCATATGTGGCTCTTATTTTTCTTAAAAACAAAAATAAGATTAAAAAAAAAAAAAAATTGGCAATTCTTTGTTTTACATTCATCGGGCCCCAATGTGACCAAATATCAAAGAGAAATTAAAAATGCATGTCGTGGAAGAGTTTGGGTCTTAGGAGGTTAATGATTATTTATTTAAATAAGTAAACCTTTGATTTAAAAAAAAATCCCCTCAAGCTTGGGGGTCCTGCGCAGTCTCTTAGCTGTTCCTAGGACTGCGCTCTTCTGGACAGAGATCTCGGATGTTGTTCCTGGGATCTGCTGGAGACACTTGCTTTGGCTTGGGAGTCACTGCATCTAGCGCTTCAATTACCACGGGGACCACTGTTACCTTCACCCTCCAGATCTTCTTGAGCTCTTCTCTGCGCCCTTTGTACTTCTCCAGTTTCTTGTGATCCTTCTTCCTGATGTTGCTGTCATTCGGTATTGCTACGTCTATCACTACGACTGACTTCCTCTGCTTGTCCACCACTACTATGTGGGGTTGGTTAACCACCACCATTTTGTCCTACTGTATCTGGAAGTCCCATGGGATCTTAGCTCGGTCATTCTCGACCATCGTACGGGGTGTCTCCCACTATGCCCTTGAGACTTCCGGTCCATACTCAGCACAGATGTTTCTGTATATTATGCCGGCCACTTGGATATGGCGTTCCATGTATGATGTATGTATGATCCACACCGTTCTTGGTGTAGATCAGCCGGTTAGTCTCTGTAACAGTCACGGTAGGTATCGTCCATGGTGCTACATTAGCATCATCAGTAGATCTCACTTCACTTAGTCTTGGTATCTGGCTATGGGGGCTCCAGGTTTCAAGCTTTGGCATGATCGCGTTGACGACGAAGTTTTCTGGGAGAAAATGTGAGTGATGTTTGACAGGTAGACAATGTGATGTGTTAGCATTGACAGCTTTGATCTTTACAGTTTAGAAGAGATGGTGCCAGTTCATTTTCTTTGCTTCAAGAGCTGGTGGAAGCTCCTCTGGAGTTTAGTCTTGTTTGCTTCTGTTTTAGCATTTCATAGTGTGGGTTCCAGTTGGTGCTCGTGATGATAAAAGTCATTGTCTGTCTGTTGGCATTGTGTCTTCCCCAGTTGGGCTCAGAGAAAACTTATGGCTGCTCTGACTCACTACACCATGCACTGGTACAAATAAGTATTGCTCTACAGTTTGGCTTCTTTTCTGAAAATGAATTAAATAATTCAGAGCCAATTCCAAATATCCAGTGCCCAGAGATCACACTGTGAATATCACACTGTAACACCATTGTTTTTTCATAATCTGTTGATAACATAGCTGTAAACTGTTGCAATTCAAAGTGAGTCTATAATAACTACTTTTTTTTTTTTTTTTTTACCTTAAAATACTTTTTGTTGTTTACTGTAGTCCATGTACTCCATATATTTTCCCTCAGACTTAATACTCAGCTGTCTAGCTTAAAGGAGAAAAAAGTAATCATTATAATGATAAAAAAAAAAAAAAACAGGATGCAAATAGACTGTCACTAAACAGTCACAGTGTAGAGTCCTCATTATGTTGTTATGGTTATTGAAATCTCCACTTAATGAGAATGACAGAAAAATCTGCAGCTTTACTAAGATCAGCAAAGAGTAGCACAATGAAAGCTTGTACAATCATACTCGTGTGCATTTCTGCAGATTAGCTTGAACGCTTCTAATTTGTTTCTTAGCTCAGTATACAGTAATTAAGCCATTGTGCCGGCTGCTAGTCACTGGTGCAAAAACACACCCTTTGACTCCACAGTTTTTTTTTATAATCTTGATTAACCAAGCGCTTCTTATTTACATAAGCTTGGACCTTTACTGCTGCAGAATGAAACACTTTTTTCCTTGATTGTGCAATTTATCCACACCCCTTGAACCTGGCTACACACTGGACCCATATTGCTGCCGTCCCCGCATGCTGAGAGGTGAGGACAAGTTGTGCTGATTAACACAGCGCGGTGGGTGTGCTGAGCGAGCGGAGAGAAAGTGGGAAGGAGGCATTCAAAGAGAGCGAGAAAGAGGAGAGATAGAGGGGAGCGCTGTGGTGTTCGTGCCTTCCTGCGGATGTGCCTATGCCACCCAAGTGCCAGCCAGATCCACCATCTGCTCATCCCAGGACACAGGCACTCTGTCTGGTTCAACAAACAGCAATGCTCTCTCTCTCTCCTCTCTCTCCTCTCTGTACTCCAAGCCTTCTTCACCTCCCAGCATGACTCTATGAGTAAATTCACAGGATGCAAACTAGCATGTGAGAAAAAATGTGAAGAGAAAGAGAGTGGCCAGGAGGGGTGGGGGGATGACGATGTAGGGTCAGGGAGCAGTTGTATTAATGAGATGCTTTGTGATCAGGATGTTGCTGGCAATGATAATGATGCGTTTGTTTTTTGGTGTAGTAAGTATATAATGCTTACTTCGTCTTTTCAAGGTAAGGATATGGGATTATAGCTGAAACCAGTTGGACTACATTATTTCTGCTACAAAGGAGGCATAACCTTGATAGTAATTAATTACTAGCTCATAATAACCTTAGGTAACTGTGCATATTTTCTATAAGCTAAAGCTTCTAACTTTCTGTGTAGCCCAGGCAACTATACACTGCTTATAGCCTGAGATTTGTCCTTATAAGTGGAGCAGTCCTAAGAGTATGTTTTTCAGACCTGCTCTCACTTACTGCATGTAATTAATTTCCTGGTTGCCCATGTCATGGCTGTGAGCCAGTTTCCCAGACCGAGGCTGAGGGATCGCAGATGGGCCAAGACAACTCACACAGGTGGAACCCTCTAATAAGCTGCTGAAATGAGATGAGAAAGGTGGAAGGGGTCGTGACTGTGGCAGCGAGGAAGGGATGGAAAATGATCTAAGAGAGAAGAAGAGAGGGGAACATTGTTACAGTAACTTTTATCGTGGCTATGCGAATAATAAACTATATAATTTCACCATTAACTTCTTTTTATTAATCATAGAGCAATGATTTAAAAAAATTTAAGGCGCTGATTTGTTTGAAAAGACATCTCACTAAATATGTTATCGATTAATGCAGGCCTTAGCTGAGAAGTGAGCATTGTTTTGTTCAGATTTAAGCCTTACATTCTGATTTGGTTACATTAGGAAGATTTGGTTTCTATTTATTTCTATCTATTAGTTTTCATTCCATGTAAGCACAATATTCAATATGTGTGAAAGATTACATATCCCTTATTATTTGCCTTCCTATTAGGCATAATGGGCAAAAAATGAAATTCTGTTCTCATAAGCATCGGGCTCTGTGTGAACAGCCTTGTTTAACATGACCTTTACAAATAGCTAATTGTGGTAACTCCATCTCCTTCTCTCAACTCCGTATTGACTTTGAAATGCAGTGTGTTTAGCATCAGTGTTTTGAGTGCTTTACTGCTTTCTAAACAGCTTCTTGACTTTTAAAAGCACACAGGGTGAACTGTTAAATCTTCTACTAGGAACTCATTCATGACTGAAGCCTAATTTTAATGATCAAGTCCATCTGGGCTTTCATTTACTCCACCCAAGAAGTAATCAGGTCGGTCATATAAATAACAAGAAAGGATTGTTCTCGCTCTGTGGTTTTGTGATGCTTCTGCCACCTGGGCTATAAATAACTTCAACTAACAATCGCCTTTTGTGAGACTTGATACTCTGACGGCTGTTAAGCCCTAGAGATGTTCAAAACTCATTTAGATATATGATAGAATCAAACCAGCTCATTTTCATATAGAGTTAAAACGAGAAAGCAGTGAAGGTGAGAGTCTGAGGTCACCTATTGCGTACTACTACCAAAATAGGAAATGGTAAAGTGTATACTGTATATAATGTTGAATAAAAATAGCACAAAAGCACAGAGATGTTTTCCCTTGATCTCATTAGTAGCAGTCTGCATAGCAAGCCTATCAATCCTTAGTAACAAACATTACTAAACATGAAAATGCAACAAAAACATCAAAAGGTTGT